GTATCCAGCTCCTTTAGCATATCAGGCCAGTGCTGAGGCCATTCGCGCTTAATCATCTCCACCACAATACGAGACAGAACATCCTTAATGTGACTTTCCTCCTCTAGAATACTTTGAGTTCCCTGTAAGAGAAAGAGGGCAGAGTTATACAAGCTAGTAAAACCATGACATTCATCATTCTGACCAAGGAGGCAGAGTGGCTGAAAATGTTCTAGACAGCACGAAAAGGAAGGAGCCGGGGTCGGGGGGGGGGAACAAACCCAAACTCCTCAACACAAACAAACAGCTCTCCATCCCAGGTACCTTGAAGGACACTCCCCCAACCTGCCATACATCCACTCCTCAACACAAACAAACAGCTCTCCATCCCAGGTACCTTGAAGGACGCGCCCCCAACCTGCCATACATCGACAGCTAGTGAATTCTGGGCACCAAAAGGATTTTCCTCAAAGGGAGGTCACTTGGTCAAGAGGGCAATTGCATCTACAGAGTAAACATGACTAAGATAAAGACTTTAGTATTCTTGCAAAGGACGAGACTGTTCACATTTACTGAACGTCCTTCTAAGAAAACCAAAAGTAGCTTACATGTCTCATAAAAGCCTCACAACTTCCTGCCATTTGAGGTGGCAAGGTGATCCTGTCCATGAGCTGACTAAGGTAGAAAGAAACGTGGTGAAACAGTCAGGGACACACAGTAAGAAAGTAATGAAACCCAGAATTAAATTCAGGCTCTCTATGATACTTAATTGGAGGGTTTTTTTCTTCATTTGCACTCCCACTTTCCATCTCCAAGTGAAAGAATCACGCCTCAGGGCATAGTATGGGGGAGAAGGTACTTACGCTGGATATAAGGCCCATGACGTTATTCTTCAGATAAACCTTTTCCAGGCGAGGCATGTTGTTCCAGCGGAACCTGTCAAAAGAATAGTAATTAAAAAAAAAAAAAGACACAAAGAACACCAAATCAAAACACTTACAAAGATCTCTGACTTGGTTCTCAATGAACTGTCACTTAAATCAAGGAGAATGAGACTCTACAGCGCAACGTTCTGCCAGCGCCCAGTCTCTTAATGAAAGCACTGAGTTAAAATTACTGCTGGCAAATGGGTGTGCATCGCCGAGGTCAACAGACACGAGAAGCAGCGGCAAAAGCACAAAGCATCAGGTCTGTGGTCATCAGAGAGAGGAATCTTAGAACTCAACTAATACAAGGATTCTTGGTTGGCCGGAGACTAACGCACCTGAAAGCTGTTTTCTCTGTCCCTTGTTTTACAGAGGAGAAAATAAACACAGAGCAGGGCAGAACAGGCTCTCCGTGCCCTGAAAACCACCCCCCTGAACCAGGGGGCACCAGACAGGGAGTACGGCTAAGGCTGGCGGGCGGGTGCACAGACGCAGGCCCGCAGCGGCTGGTGTGCGGGCAGCCGGGCGTGCTCCCTTACTTGACCACATGCTCCAGGATCTGCAGGCCAAAGTGGCGGACGATGGCCGTCTGCGTCTTCTCGGCCAGCTTCAGCCCGCAAGGCACGCAGATGGGGCACTTCTCCTTGAACTCCTCACAGAA